GTAAAAATACATGGTGTGGTGGGGGACAGTGGTGGTCATGGTTACATCAAATGGTTAGGTGGGGTTCAGTGTTGGTCATGGTCACATTACAGTGTTAGGTGGGGTACAGTGGTGGTCTTGGTAACATTACATTGTTAGGTGGGGTACAGTGGTGGTCATGGTAACATTACATAGAGAATTGGGGTACAGTGTTTGTCATGGTTACATTAAGGGAGAATACTCTGTGTTAAACTGTTTCCCTCCTATATAAGGGAGAATACTCTGTGTAAAACTGTTTCCCTCCTATATAAGGGAGAATACTCTGTGTTAAACTGTTCACCTCCTATATCAGGTAGAATACTCTGTGTAAAACTGTTCACCTCCTATATAAGGGAGAATACTCTGTGTAAAACTGTTTCCCTCCTATATTAGGGAGAATACTCTGTGTAAAACTGTTCACCTCCTATATAAGGGAGGATACTCTATGTAAAATTGTTTCCCTCCTATATAAGGGAGAATACTCTGTGTAAAACTGTTCACCTCCTATATCAGGTAGAATACTCTGTGTAAAACTGTTCACCTCCTATAAAAGGAAGAATACTCTGTAAAACTGTTCACCTCCTATATAAGGGAGAATACTCTGTGTAAAATCATTCACCTCCTATATAAGGGAGGATACTCTGTGTAAAACTGTTCACCACCTATATAAGGGAGGATACTCTGTGTAAAAGATTCCAAGTGGAACTCTTCTTCCCTATTATAGCTATTATGTCCTTTACCTTTAAGAACTCCGTACATACCAATTCAGACAACTCTTATTCCAGCTATAAATTACTAGTGAGATACACGACTGAAAGAGTTATATAAAAACCGTTACAAATGAGTTCTAGGAGTAATGCTCTGTTTTACACGTGCTCGTTCAAACCTCTTCATTCCGATGACCCCTGATCCAGAGGTCAGACTTCTGTTTTCATCAAGGATGTATCTGTGTCAATGCATGCATGACAAATGCTTCCCGTTCAGATGGTTTTCTTGTTTACTTGGTGGTGCTAATGTGTTAATGGTAATTAACAACAGCGTTCCGAACATTGATCAGTTTAATGGTCCCGTGTTGACGAGTAAAGCATGATTTATATTGCACTTTCTTCCATGTATACATCTTCCTGAACAGCTACAATGACACCTGCCTTAACCAATTAACATTGAGACCTCTATTTCCGTTCGTAACAGGCTGTAACGAATTTCTAATTGGATTTCAGTTTAATTGTGACTTCATGATTTAAACAATCATGTGACGTACTGTCTCATAACATAGAAATCGAGGTTTTAAATTTAAATAAAAATTGGCATTAGACATAGTCACATGATGAACAGTTTATCACACTTCTGACTTTTATGTTTTGAGTATTCCATAAAGTTAAGCTGTTCATATATTGGTATATGGACTTATTCAACTTGCTTGATGTAGCTTCTCATAAACACACGTTACTATTCCGTATCACTGAGTTAAAATCAACACAAACTACACTAACGTTTGACCAGCTTACATGTACATATATATTACAGCGTGCACTTTTCTTTCATGTACAAGCATTTCACATCTGCCATTACACAACACGAACAGTTGGTATTTTCCACATTTATGTGTACAGAGAATGTAATTAATTTACGGAAATGAAAGTCAACATTCTCGCGTGCATGCGATGGACGGATTGAGACACGTGGTACAGACATATTGCTTATATTAACAAACAAAACCAACGCTATTAAACAGGGAATGTTACATTCAGTCAAAACAGCTGTTTTACACAACAAATATGTAATAGTTGGTAATGAGTTTGTCTATAAAACACGACCAAGTATCTTGTAGCGGTAAGTTGGACAGCGTGTCAGTAAACCAGTACTTATTTATGTAGCTAATACTTCAAATGAACAAATCGAAATGTTCTTTCAACAGCGTCTGCAACGTCCACCAAAAGTCGCATACCAACACACACACAAAATGAGAAAAGGTCACCACTGTTTCTGGTCTATCCTTCGACGATGATGTCGGCGCACTGGTAGAAGACAGCTGGGGCCTGCTTGTTGTTGGTAACGTACGCCGTCTGAAGCACGTAGAGTTGCCTGGAAACCAGTCCTGTCGGAATGGTGACATTGACAGAGTAAAGAGTCAAGGACGGCTCGCCAGCATCCGGAATACTGACCAGGTTTTTCATCTCTGTACCCGTCCTCTCTTGACCGATAGCAACTTGGAAAGATCCCGGTGTTGCTTTGTCGTAGTGGTCCAGGTTCTTCTGGAACGTCACTGTAAAGTTCGTGCCGGTTTTCAATCCCATGACGGGGTGTCCTGCCGGCCGGCCACCACAGCGTGCAGCAGTCAGTATGCAGTCATTGGCTCCAGCTTTGTTGATACCCATCATGGAACCTCTCTGGGGTGGACTCAGCATACACAAGTGGGCATTGCAGACTTCCAGCACTATGGCTATGATGACAGCCGTAAGGAACTTCATACTTGCAAGATGGCGGCTTTCGAACTGATGGCTAACGGTACTGACCCAATGCCGAGTTTGTATCGAAACAATTGCAAAGATAAGCGTGTTGGGGTCTTAGACATCTCGGTGGGACCGACCTTGACAGAAAGATATCGTTGAACCCTTACATAAGAATTCTTATCGTCATTTCAAATAAGGTCAGCCATTCGTAACGCATCGGACATTCGTGCTTTCATTTGCTGAAGTCTGACAGTAAAGTACAAACTACAGAAATGTTCCGAACAAAGTTTGTCCAACTGCAGAGTTCAATGAACAATGTGGAACGAGGTTAGCCGGACGACTTCTCCTGTATATTGACCTTTGTCTGTTCGATTGTATATGATATTTTAAAAGACTCTTTACACCAAGGTGTTAAGCAAAAGTTAGTTTAGTGAAGCGTTAATTTTGAAGTAAAAAAGAATATTTCATATGATATATCAGAACAGACAAGTACTCAATATATGTAATAAACACATTGTTGTATGAAAACCAAGATTTTGTAACGGACAGTATAAATAGTACGATGTTTGGAAACAATACGGCACTTCTACCTTGAATAGGTGAAACTATACTCGTCAGTTTTTCATACAAAATATAAAGTATGTCATGCTTAAGTACTCTAAGGTAAATTATTTGATCTAACAAATAATGTTATTTGAATTATAAAGCAAGAAAGTCAAAACATAACCGGATCGAATCTCAACTATAGATAATGAGAAATATCAATGACCTTTTGACCTTCTCTCACCTGAGATGAACCTGTTACATGTATGTTAAATTTTACACCTGTACGATTACGTCGTGGTCGTGCCTCTGTCCTTACTGTCTGGGATATGGAGATGGGTTTGGAAGTTGACCCATAAACTGTAACGTGTGTGTGTCGGTGACATGAATGTTTCAACCTGTTTTGTGGTTTTGTCTTTGCATCAGCGAACTACATTAAAAACGTGTGAATACACTCGTTACCCATGGTGTTAGGTAACTTGGGATACAGTCACTGTTCCTCTGTCAGTAGGTGGATGGGGGTACATTGAGGGATACAGTCACTGTTCCTCTGTCAGAGGGTGTGGGGTACATTGAGGGATACAGTCACTGTTCCTCTGTCAGTAGGTGGGGGTACATTAAGGGATACAGTCACTGTTCCTCTGTCAGTAGGTGGGGTACATTGCGGGATAGAGTCACTGTTCCTCTGTCAGTAGGTGGGGGTACATTGAGGGATACAGTCACTGTTCCTCTGTCAGAGGGTGTGGGGTACATTGAGGGATACAGTCACTGTTCCTCTGTCAGTAGGTTTGGGGTACCTTGAGTGGTACAGTAATAGTTCCTCTGTCAGAAGGTGTGGGGAACTTTGAGTGGTACAGTCACAGTTCCTTTGTCAGAAGGTGTGGGGAACCTTGAGTGGCAGAGTAACAGTTCCTCTGTCAGAGGGTATAGGGTACCCTGAGGGATACAGTAACAGTTCCTCTGTCAGTAGATATGGGATACACTGAGGGGTACAGTCACCGTTCCTCTGTCAGTAGGTGTGGGGAACCTTGAGTGGCAGAGTCACAGTTCCTCTTTCAGTAGATATGGGGTACACTGAGGGGTACAGTCACCGTTCCTCTGTCAGTAGGTGGGGGTACATTGAGGGATACAGTCATTGTTCCTCTGTCAGTAGATATTGGGTACACTGAGGGGTACAGTCACCGTTCCTCTGTCAGTAGGTATGGGGTACCTTGAGTGGTACAGTAATAGTTCCTCTGTCAGTAGATATAGGGTACACTGAGGGGTACAGTCACCGTTCCTCTGTCAGTAGATATTGGGTACACTGAGGGGTACAGTCACCGTTCCTCTTTCAGTAGTTATGGGATACCCTGAGGGGTACAGCCACAGTTCCTTTGCCAGTATTGTGGGGTACCTTGAGGGTACAGTGACAATTTCGAGGTCATTAGATGTTGGGTATTCTGAGGAGTACAGTACCAGTTTAGCGGTTAGTAGATGTGGCGTCTCCTGAGGGGTACAGTAACAGTTTAGCGGTCAGTAGATGTGGAGTCTCCTGAGGGGTACAGTAACAGTTTCTTGGTCAGTAGATACGGGGTACACAGATGGTACTCGTTTCCGAATTGTGTTGATTATATATTGAAAATATAATGTATTGTATATTACCATATATAAATACAGTTTAAAGGTCACTTGGGTTGGGGTTCCCTGAGGGGTACAATAACAGCTCCTCTGTCAGTATATGTGGGTTACCCTGAGGGGTACATTAACAGTTCCTCTGCCAGTAGGTGTGGGGTACACAGAGGGGCACAGTAACAGTTTCGTGGACAGTATATGTGGGGTACCCTGAGGAGTACATTAACAGTTCCTCTGTCAGTAGGTGTGGGGTACACAGAGGGGCACAGTAACAGTTTCTTGGTCAGTATATGACACATGGTCATGTTGCCTTTAGTTGATTCCGTTTTCTTTGTAAAATTTAATGACATTGATTCAGGAATAAAACAACACATGTTCATTTTTCATTAATAATTTATTACATTTAAATAACAATCTTCGTACAACAAACCAGCAAATCAAGTCATCCCACCAGTGTACGTTTGTAGCGGCAGTCACACTCACTACTGTTTGTCCAGGGCTGGACCCACACCATGGTCATTTATAGTTGCCTTATTCGTTGATCATAATGTCTGCACACTGGAAGAACTCCGGTGGTGCCTGGGGATTGTTCGTGAGATAGGCGGAATGCATGATATACTCTGTTTTTGGTGTAAGGTCCATAGGGATGGTGACATTGACAGAGTATACGCTCAGGGATGGTTCTCCGGCATCAGGAATGGTGGCCAACACGTTGAGTTGGGTACCTCCTCTCTCAGAACCAATGGAAACGGTGAAACTTCCTGGCGTTGCCTTCACATAATGGTCAAGATTTTTCTGGATTGACACGGTGAAGTTTTGTCCCCTCCGGAGTCCCATTTCGGGCCTGCCCCGTGGTCTTCCGCCACACCTGGGTGTAGTCAAAACGCAATCGTTGGAACCCGGCTTGTTGAGGTTGACCATGGAGCCTCGTTGTGGAGGACTAATCATGCACAGGTGTGCGCAACATACTTCCAGCACAACGACAGCAACAACGGCAGTAAGAAAATTCATGTTGAACAGATAATGGCGGGTCTGGCAGACAACAGACGTTGACACTGACTGGCTGGTATGAAAGCTAGTGAAATGATAAGGAAATTAACCGGCAATATCTATCTTATATCTGTCAATCATAAACTGTCTGACCAATCAAGAAGCAGATCATTATCGGCCGCCATAAAACATTGACTCCATAGTGCTTCTAGATCGAAGTTCGGTCCGTAATCCGGGTCATTGGTACCAAAGTCAAGGTGCTAGATATATTGATATCATGGTCATATTTGAATGTTACATAATTTCCGAACTTTGTGTAATTCTGGTCCCTGTGCAAACAGTGTGTTGTTTGATTTTTAGCATCGCAAGGCTAATGGCCTCTTTTCAGAAAACAATGTTCGTTTGCGATTCAAATCAACTTCATGACGATCCACTCACACAATCAGCTATTCTGTTTAATTTAAACTTACTATAAATTGTGAAATTAATAAAGAATTTAGTAATTATAATTAACAGATGTGGTCACTTGTGACTTAGTTGTCTGATAGAAATGACAAAGTATGTGACAAAAGAAATCTTGAAAACACAACAAGTTTAAAATATTTGGGTTTTGTCAAATAACCTTAGATGGTAAAGAACTCTTGAATAATTACATCCATTAAATGAAGTGCGAAAGGTGTGAGTCCGTTATGTGTAGATACATTAAGCTGATTAGAGCCCGGTTATTGAAAGTCTGGTTAACTTGATGAACAGTTAACAGGAGTATTTAATTTGAAATACATGTTTTATCAAGATACTGAAATAAACAACCAAGTATCTACGTATAAGGTTTACATATGCTCATCTGTTTGCAATTAAATTCAAAATATTTTTAATTTTTCAAGACGACTCTGAGATTAGATCTGTAATCGCCGACACATGAAGGTAACCATGCTTCTAGCATCAGCCTAGAATACGACAGAGAAACCGGTACTAAATGAAATGAGGTTTGTACACCGCATACTCTTCGTTGACATTTTAAGCTACAAGCTTTACACTGAGTCAGTAAGCTACAATGCGACTTTGATAAGTACAATTTCATCTTCTATTTATATTGTAATCTGCGCGCGTTTAGATGAGTTGGTATACTACGAGTATTCAAGTGACCTTGAAAGCTAACAGTCTTCCAATAACCTTATAACTGAGCTACATGAGCTACATGTACTCCAAATAACTTTAAGTTACAGTTAAGTCTTCAAATGACCATGTATTACAAGCCTTCCACTGACCTTGTAATTTAGCAGTTTTCTGATGCCTCTCATTAGATTTTTCTACAAGTATTCACAAGTAACCTTATACTATACAATACTTTCATTGTCAAATCGTCCACAAGCCGTCCAATCACTTTATTAGCTACAAGATTTCAAATTATCGTGAAAGTTGCATTTAAATGACTTCGTATTATCTTTGAAAGCTGACAAAGACCAGACAAAGCCAGACGCATTGATACTACAAAGATGCAAGATGCACTGACGCTATAAAAATGTATCAATCTATTCTCGTCCAAATAAGATTATATGATGATATTTATATTTTAAGTATCATCCAAATTAGATAAGGTGATATAAACACGAGCCAGATAGCACTGAGAACAGATGCGCCTGTCCAAATTAAAAGGGAGGGGTTTGTTTCATCTGCCATTTTGACAAGTGAAATTTGTTCAAGTCGTTTTGTTTACAACTGCAGCTTTACCTGTCTCGATTTTTGCGTTTGTTTTTATAATGCAGTTATAAGAATGTTTCTACGGATAGCTTTTAATATCTTGTTCTTTTTGTGTTTTAAAAAGATGACTAGCTGTTTCTGCCTCTCTGTAAACACCCTAGGGAATCACTGATGCTATTTTAGTGATGAGTTCGCTCTGTTCCGGTGCATTTCTTTTTGTTTTATGCACGTGAAAAACTAAAACTAATTTAGGCGGCTGCGATAAACAAACGTTCAAGCTGTCAAAGATAGGGCAATAATTGTAAAGGTAAAATTTATACTTTCTTAACATTTTCCTGGTTATAGACTAAATCCAACTAACATAATACAGAAAACAGATACATTCCAATCTTGTTATTGCGTAAAAAGGTTACAAATTAAACCCATTATTTTGTAATTGAAGTAAAAATAAAGAAGAAGTAAAAAGCTTGTGCCATATGTCGTGTCGTAATTTGGTGTTAATTCGGCTATTTTTGTATTTATTATTCACAGGAGGGTACGGTGGGTTAATTTCTATCAGTCTCGTCCTGTTGAAGATGTTAACATGTTGGCAGTATATAAGCGATAATGACACATTGTTGTGAGTTTTTTCCCGTTTATATTATTTCTTCATCCGAACGTATCAATTTACTGCTGTTATGATATACAAACTGTATATTGCTTTTGTTTTATTGACGCCTGTTCATATACTCCCCGCTGAAAATATCACGACATAATATCTAGACAAAATTGACCGAGTAATGGATGAATGGATTTGTCTGCAAGCTGTATAAATCAGTGTTGATGTCGGTTAGTATTATTTTTTGTACATGTATTAATGTGAAGAACAGTTCCCATAATGTGTAGTACACCAATATGGAACTATGAGTACGTTTTATTGCAACGTATTCGGGGATGTCCTCTTTTAATTGACTCAAAAGTATATAGAACACAACAATTTGAGCTTTCGTTATTTTGGCTGTTTATAAGGAGTTTTACTATTATCTTATAACCAAATATTGATAAAGCAACACTTTTTCACTTTACTGGTATATTTCATAATTGATTTTCCTAATGTTTGTGTCCATGTATATATCTTCCTCAAATGAAACATTATCATTATTTAGAGTTGAAACAGTTTTGAATAGTATTGATAAAATGTATCGTAATAATCCGGATTTGGATGTTCATAGACTAATTAGATAACGACAAACTTACACAAATCAACATGCTATTTTCGAGGAATGTCTCCAAAATAAGACATGTTTTTTTCTGTTTCCTGCTTTAATAGATATTTTTGAATCCATATGCATGTAAAAACTGTTGAACTAAAAGTACGTGAAATGATTTTACGTTACAATGTAGTAATGTTAAATCGGATTCCGAACAACTTAGCCCTTATCAACTGCTGTTAGGATTATGCTTGTAAATATGACGTCATGCATTTTTCATTCTAACGTCATAAGTATCACCATGGGTTAAGGAACAAAGGAGGGCAGCAATCCTTTGTTGTTGTAAGGAGGTTATTGAGTTAATTTCAGAACAGCCAGGATAATTATATATTAGTAACACTATTTAAGATTTTACAGATACTATGCCAAAATATTCACACGGTTGAATGCTTCAACTCCAGTAATTTTGGCATTGCAGCTACCACGTACACATGTACTGTATAGTAAGTTTGGCATTGCAGCTACCACGTACGCATGTACTGTATAGTAAGTTTGGCATTGCAGCTACCACGTACACATGAACTGTATAGTAAGTTTGGCATTGCAGCTACCACGTACACAATTCATGTACTGTATAGTAAGTTTGGCATTGCAGATACCACGTACACATGTACTGTATAGTAAGTTTGGCATTGCAGCTACCACGTACACATGTACTGTATAGTAAGTTTGGCATTGCAGCTACCACGTACAGCTGTACTGTATAGTAAATTTGGCATTGCAGCTACCACGTACACATGTACTGTATAGTAAGTTTGGCATTGCAGCTACCACGTACAC